TTATTATAATATTAAAAATTACAATAAAAATAGATTGCAAGAATAACTTTTCACATTATAATATTAAAATTAATTTTCCTCTTTTCATTACATTGACTAATAGTTCGAGAAAAGAAAATTGTTTTTAAAATTAATATTATATACTATTCGTAATATATAATATTAATTCATTACAGTAAAAGAGAACTTCTCCCACTGATAGCTATATTTCCCAGAATTCAATGATGACAATAAAATTGTTAGCACATGTTGGTCGCTATCAAAGCCGTCAGAAGTGGTTAAGGACTTTGACACGCCGTGATTGGTGGCCATCGACGGTGACATGAACGACACTCGACCAACCTACTACTATTGCCTTGATGAGTTGGGCCGAAAAGTGAAAATGCCACCAATACAAAATGAAGCAGCCACCGTACAGCCCATAAACGCTAATGAAAATGCCATGCCCCTAATAAGCAACTAATTACATATATTCGTGCGCAATTAATTGTATTAATTTTATAAAATATTTAAAAAAATATTAATTCTGTAATTTGTTATTCAAATTCCTATCAACGATTCAAACCCTTGTTCACAGTTCGTCAGATAGAGGATTCATATTTTGACCAGAACTAACGCTCGGGATTACCACAAAACCACAAAAAATTATAGAGTGTTTGAGAAGATAAATTATTTTTATCAAGAAATCATAATTTCTAAGAATATAATTGAAAAGTCACTTTCTTCGTAATGTTATCAAAAAACTATTTGGTAAGTTAAAATATTTCTGGAATTTTGTCCCAAAAAAAAAATATAAATTTTTTCCAACACCTGATATTCCAAGAATATCACCCCTTTGATGGTATACTTATCACCCCTTTGATGGTATTCTTGGATGATATTTTAGAAAAAAAATTGTACACAAAATAAAATTTTGAAAAAATTAGATTCAGTGAATTTTTTTCAAAAACCTTATATCAAACATGAATAAATAGAATTATTAATGTCAGTTTTACCGGAATCTCAAAAAATTTCTCCTATCAAACACCCCCTTAAGGGTCATTTGGTATATAGATTTTTTTTTGGATTCATGAAAAATAGGTATTAAGAATTTTTTTACCCATATTTGATAGAAGGTTTTTAAAATTTTTCACGAGATTCTAATTTGTGAACAAATTGTATAGCAAAATGACATCCAAGAATACCACCAAGAGGGTGATATTCTTGGAATCTCGGGTGTTGAAAAAATTTGATATTTCCCATAATATTTAACAATCAATCAAATATAGAATCAGTAAACTTGAGTCAATATTCTTAGCAATAATTTTTTTAGTCATATTTTTGGGAAATTAAATTTTCCAGTATATTCTTGGTAATCATGATTTTCGGGCAATTTTTTTTTTATCCTCTACCAAATGTCCTAAAACTCTTTTTTTTTTCTCCTAGATTCAATGGATCACAGTTAGTAAGAGTGTAAAGAAATTGAGTTGGGATAGGTTTTTTACTTAAAGAAGTCAGATTCGTATAAAATATTTCAAGTCTGGTCTGATTCATTAATCTTGTATAGTTCAAATTATAAGTCTAGTCTGACTCTGACATATATTTAAAAAACAAAAATTTGGCCTGGACATTCAATATAAAAAATAATTATAACATGATAATTTATTTATTATATTTAAATAATATAATATAGGTTCATCTGTCTTATAAATCTGACATATATAACAAATTTTATAATATTTTCTAAATATTTTTTTAAAACCTGAGCCAACTCTATTTAATTATATATAATAAACTGAATCTAGATTAATATAAATTAAATTGTAGGTCCCATTATGCCCGGATTTACACCACCACAAAAACAATGCTAAGATAGAGATAGGACGTTCAGTGGGGATGAATATTCGGATCTATACGACGATTCTTGTGTACTCGGGTTCAAGTAATGTCTGTTTTCCTCTATTTAATTTAACTATGCTATTAAAAAATTGAGAGTAAAATAGAGTGCAGGCGCGCGCGCACAAATTTAACTAATTAAAAAAATTGAATTTGAATGCTCTTATGTGTAAAAGTGGTCATGTAATTATATTATTTGATCCCAATCACTTATTTAAAAATCATATATATATATTTTTCTCTTATCTTATCATCAATGAATGATTGTGATCAAATAACATGATCACATAATCACTTTTTCAAATGCAAAAAAATTATCGTTTCCGTGTGCTTCCGTAGGCAATGACGCAAGGTTGAGTTTCCGTGTGCTTCCGTAGGCCATGACGCAAGGTTGAGGGAGACAATCAGACATTTCCAAATTTCCAATGCCATCTCATCTCATACGTTTGCTTTCACGTTTCAATGTTTATTATTTGTATTTAATTATTTCGTTCAACGTGATGATGTTATTTTTGGCAACATATGAGATTTTTTTTTTAAGTTCAATCTTAAACCTGATTTTGACGCTTTATATGTACAACATTTCGTAGTGAAAAATCCATTTGCGAGTATTGACAAAAACATTTTTTTAATTAAACGTTTTATTAATATTTAAATAAGTAGAACTTCATATTTTTTGTTAATTTATTTTTGATATTCTATCAATATAAATTTTTTACTCAATTATCTAATCTTCTATTGATATTCCATTTAATGAATTTGATCATATAAACATTATGAGAAGTCAAAATTATTAAATAATGTGACAATATATCATTATACGATAATATAAATTTGTTTGGTGAACAATATAAAATTTCATATTTAAAAATATTTATTTCATAATTAATTTATTTATAATAAGATTTTGAACATTAATTTATTTTCCATGTAACCCGATAGATAAATTCATACCCTTTGTCATAATTACTTGTCTAAAAATCAGGGGTGTTTGGATCCCTTTAATTTGGATTTTATTTTTAAATCTGATCCAATCCAAACCAAATAAATTGGATTGTTTGGATCGGTTCTCGGTTTTTCGAAAAACCTAAAATTTCAGTTATACAAATCACTAACTATATCAAAATAAAGCTTTTCAAAGTTACAAACCATTGAAAAATTAAGTCTTCAAACTAAAAGAAGTCTTAAAATTTATGAAGAGTTAAAATAGATTAATAACTATAAAAAATTAAAACAAGATAATTTGCTATCAATAACATCCAAGATTTCAAGTCACCATCTTTCGAAAATAATAAATACATAATACATTGGATTGATTTTCACCAACCAAACTGAAAATCGATCAAATCCTATTAAAATATGCGAATTTTTTTCAATTTTTGATTAATTCAATTGTCGATTTTTCAATTCGGTCACCGTGATTTGGATAGATTGATGAACACCCCTACTAAAAATGATTTTGTGTCAACATTATTCCCACAATGTTTGGAGATATTCCAATAGGTTTATTGCTTTCTGATTAGTCCAATTCGAGGCAGGTCCTGAAATTAAAATTTTAAACCCTCTAAAAATTGGTACCGAAGAGGGTCGAACTATTTCCACAGTATTTATTATGTTAAAATCACTTTTCACGTTTACAAATATAAATCAATTTTTATTCTAACGTACTTCTGATTAAAATTGAATTTAATTTTGCAAAATCAATTTTCTCCATAAATTAATTTTGAAAAAAATGTGTGTCATTTTAAAGGAAGTAAAAATGTGTCATTTTAAGTGAGAGAAAGAGATAGATAAAGGAGGAGAGAGAGTGAACAAAAAAAAATAAAGGTGTAGGTACCATCTCTTTGTGAGAGTGAAATGATATAAATTGTGTCATTTAAAAGGACAAACAATTTTCCCATTAATTTTACAAAATCAAAACACACAAATAATTTGACAACTCAACTTCATCCGACTCGACCACTACACAATCCACTAACCCCGTTGGGAATGGTAGTGGGGTGCCTAAATTTACAAATGATATATCCATTAATGGGCCAAGTGACAAATCATGATAAATGGACCGACACCTATCTCAACCCAAAACCTTAAAGTTTAAGTTGCATGAGTCTATTTTGCACTTATGGTCCTCACTTGTAACATTTCTACTCGATGTGGAATTTCATCATTATTCACACTTGATTATTTATAACATCTTCCTCTCAAGTGTGATGCCCGACATCATTCTCCCCTTCATGAGCAACTTTTGCGTAAGTCTTTTCTTTTCAAGTATTAAAGTTACATTAACCTTCTAATATCACCATCTTTAAATACCCGGCCAAATAGTTGAGAATGGTATTAGGGTGCCCAAAACCTTTTACAAATGATATCTTTATTAATGGGCCAAGTGACAAATCATGGTAAGTGGGCTGCCATCGCATCTCAACCCAAAATCTTGAGGCTCAAGTTGTATAGGTCTTTTTTGCACTTATATGATCACCACTTGAAGTATTTCTAATCGATTTGAAACTTTATCACTACTCACACGTGATTATTTTCAATAGACCCTGTGATCTTAAACTCAAAAGCAACCGTAGCTACCTTCAACGTTCACACGCACACCCTTGGACTATGGTTGAATTTTTACTGATAAGAACAATAGAGAAATGTGAAATGAAATAGAATGGAATAAAATTATCATATTTTCATATAGATATTTTACGATGAAACAGAGTAAAATGTCGATTCTATTGTTTGAGAAGTGGACAAAATGATAAGAAAATTATTGAATTATTATTGAATTTCACCTCATTCCATCTCATATGCCAATAGAGCTATTGATTTTAATGAAATGCATTCCATTTCATTTTAATTTAAACAATCTAATTATGGTAATTAACTACTTTATATTACATTATTTCATTTCTTTTCATGAATCCAAAGATAGGCCAGAGGAAGAGATGCTGTCGCTACACTCATTTGACAAGGATCCCCGTTTCATGATTTTAATCTTTATTTTTCTTATTCTCTCTTTTGCCATTGATGTATTGAGAATATTGAATAAATGACAATCAATGTTTTCCTTTTGATAGTCTACATTGAAAAGACGGTCGGAGTTGGTGTCTGGTATAATAATTGTCCTCTTTAAATTAGATTTTATTTTGGCTGGTTATCCTTGTTTGATAAAATGATTGAAAAACTGTACTGTATTGAAAGTTTTCCTTCCATTTTTCAACTTATCTAAAGCCAAATAAATAGTAAGCTTTATAGACACACATGGAATGCTCCATCTATCTCTCCATTTCCTCTTGCACCGTTTGTCGTGAACTTTGAATTATGGCTTCTGCGGACAAAAAAGAAGAGCTTCATGTTCTATTGGTGGCATTTTCAGCCCAAGGTCACATAAACCCCATGCTCAGGCTAGGCAAAAGCCTACTAACCAGAGGCCTTCATGTCACACTCGCCACCACTGAATTAGTTTACCATCGCATGTTCAAGTCCTCCACCACTCCCACCAATACCGGCGACGAAGCCACTGTCCCCACTTCTATCACCACCAATGGAATCCAAGTGCTGTTCTTCCCTGACGGCTTGGATGGCGAAGCCAACAACATGGACCACTACATGGAGTCTATGGGGAAATTTGGACCGGTTAACCTCTCAAACATCATCAAGGACCACTTCCTCGGCTGTTCTAAAAGACTAGCTTGCATTATCAACAACCCCTTTGTCCCATGGGTAGCAGATGTAGCTGCCGAGTGCAAAATCCCCTGTGCTTGTCTCTGGATTCAACCCTGTGCTCTTTATGCCATATACTACCGTTTCTACAACAAGTTCAACCAATTTCCTACTCTCGCGGACCCTGACATGAGTGTCCAGTTACCAGGTCTGCCATTGTTACAACCACAAGACCTTCCATCTTTTGTCCTCCCATCAAATACTTTTGGAAGCATGCCTAAGATATTGTCAGATATGTTCCATGACATGAAGAAGCTAAAGTGGGTATTGGCAAATTCATTCTATGAGTTGGAGAAGGAGGTAGTAGATTCCATGGCCGAGTTGTGCCCTATAAAAACGGTGGGTCCGCTAGTCCCTCCATCATTACTTGGCCAAGATCAAAACGAAGACGTTGGAATTGAAATGTGGAAGCCACAAGACTCCTGCATGGAGTGGCTTAGCCATCACCCTCCTTCTTCAGTCATATACATCTCGTTTGGAAGCCTCATTGTGTTATCAGCTAAGCAAATGGAGAGCATAGCCAAGGCTCTGAAGAAAAGTAATCGCCCTTTTCTTTGGGTCATCAAGCGTGGTGAAAAAGCAGCTTCAGATGGAGTAGAGGAGCTGCCACTGCCACAGGGGTTCGTGGAAGAGACCAAGGACCAAGGCATGGTGGTGTCATGGTGCCCACAAACCAAGGTCTTGGTTCACCCTGCAATCGCATGCTTCTTAACACACTGTGGCTGGAATTCCATGTTGGAAGCCATCACCGCAGGCACGCCCATGATTGCTTACCCACAATGGACCGACCAACCCACCAACGCTAAACTCATTTCTGATGTGTTCCATACTGGGATTCGCCTCAAGCAGGACAGTGATGGCTTTGTTGAAACAAAGGAAGTGGAAAGAGCTATTGAAGAAATTGTGGGGGGAACATGCTCAGAGGAATTTAAGAAAAATGCAGCAGAGCTGAAACGGGCTGCAAGGGAGGCTGTTGCTGACGGCGGCTCGTCGGACTGTAATATCCAATCATTCGTGGATGAAATAATTGCTACCGCAATAATTAATATCTGATGTTGTCATCATTCCATGATCCCAAAAATTTATAATATCTTGTCGTTATTGAATGTTTAATTCCTAGTTTGGAGTTTTCTCATCATTGTACTTCGCTAATAAATATAATAATGTACGCCGGACCATTTGACATAACATTTGCCTGCTAGTATTTTTAATTTTTTTATTTGCCTTTTTTCAATGGACCCACCTAAATATATATGTGCTGCAAATATTCGCTAATTATGCAATAAAAGAACCCTTTACTATATACTTGATCTGTTTTATTTTTGGGTAATAATATTTTTATGATAGAAAAATATTATCTCCTAGACTCCTACCTATATAATAAATAAGAGAGAGAAAAAATTTAAAAGCGAAAGAAAAATATTCTTGTAAAACCCATTTAAAAAATATAAGTGTAAGATAAAATACTTTTCTTATGAAAGATAAAAAAAATATTACCCTTTATTTTTCCGTGGAAATTCCTAAGTACTATTTTATTAATGGGCTGCTTTAGCTTAACGAAAGTTTGGTACAAAAAAAGTTTTAACAACTTACAATGAGTTTAGTTTTAAAATTAAGCAACAACTAATGTCTTTATTTTAAAATTTTGATAATTAAGATTACAATTTTTTAAATTAAAAATCAAGAATAAGCATATTCTAATACACTCATTTTAAAGATTTATTCGTAAGAGTCTTAACAAATAAAAAGGCAAATTACATTCACTTCTCTTGGAACTTCTCCCCCCAAAAAATTTGTGTTAGATTAAAAATGAGTGTGCCTTTAAATTAAACACTTTCATAATTAAAAATTAAAATAGTTTATAATTATTTTATTAAATTTTTTTACAGTGATTATTTTAAATTGCTATTAAGTTTGGTTTTATTATATTATAATATTTTTCCATCTAAAATATTTTTTAACGTCTTTCTTGTTTATTTAGTTCTACAATATTCAGCGGCCTATTTCGATACTATATAAAAAGAGGAACGGTATTATTATTTTCTAAATTATATAATATAGGTTGAATAATAAAAGTTACTTTTATAATTCAATTAGTGACTTTTATTATTTAATCTGTAATTTTTAAAAAACGATACAGTAGTTTTTTTATAACTAAAAAATAATACAGTTATTTACTTTTATTGCTTAATAAAACCAATGTCTAGGAAGAAACTAATGATCTATTTGATTGTATTCTGATTTTTTTTGTTCTTAAAATTATTTTGTAGAATAATAATAGAACAAATTGAATCTGTTTGATTGTGTTTTGATTTTTTTGTTCTTAAAACTGTTTTGTAGAATAATTATGAAAACAGTTGTTTTCTATTTTTGTTTTTGTTTTGAAAGTTAAAAATCAAAACAGAAAACAAAAACAACTCAGACATGTTCTCTAAATTTGATTCTAAAAACAAAAAAGTAGTTACAGTTTTTAATTTTTTTTTTTACAAAACAGGCTTTACCAAACGAGTTTTTTTGTTCTGAAAACTAAAAAACTGTTTTTAAAAACAGTTATCAAACAGAGCCAATATTTCTGTATTTTATTTTTTGTTTTGAAATTCAAAAGTCAAAACAAAAACAATTTTGATATGTTCTCTAAAATTAATTCTAAAAACAAAAAAATGTTATAATTCTTATAATATTTTTTACAGAACAAGTCCTATCAAAGGCGTTCGCCTAAAATTCCAGGCGGGAGTTCATTTAATCGCGTCCAATGGTGGAGTGGTTATGTTATAAGCATTTTACCACGTCAATCAATAAAAGGTCAAGCATTGCAGTTTTAGGGTAAGCCATGCAAATAAGTTTTGCAGCGAGACATTAAAGAAACTGCAAATATGATAAAGCTTTTTTTTTTTTTTTTGACCAAATTCGAATAATGAATAAACATGTAAAATTCCTTTGCCTAATAAATAAATAATGTGCATAATACTTGTTACCTACCTTCTGAACAAGTTCAACCCCCCCTATCTGGAGTCGGAAAAGCCTGGCCCTTCAGAGGTCTGGCCATAACTGATTCTATTTGATTCTGATCACGTGAAGATAATGCAACTTTGACTGCCATAACCTACAAAAACAATAAGGAAAATCTGGTAAAAATCTCTGACGAAGAAGCAAATAATTAAATAAGAAATAGAGCAGATAGAACAGAGAAACAGGGTCAGAATCTGTATTCATTGGAAGTCAGCTGAAATACAAGATATCTATAATATAATAATAGGTGTTATAATGATTCTTGTCTACAAGCAGTTTTGTTACAACAGCAACAATAATAATAGAAGTTACAAAGATATATTAAGTGTACTTAAGTAATGAAATATGTCTGATGCATGATTAAGACCATAGTAGTCAATAGCGGCGCAATAGCGCCGCAAGCCGTGCTAGATGCGCTTCGCGGAGCTTCGCCGCAACCATTCTCTCCGTGCCGCACCAGATCGCAAAAGCGGTCGTTGCGGCCGCATTTGCGGCCAAATCTCGCCGCAACAGTGCCTATTATGGTTTTAACCCTGACCCACTCTCCCTTTCTACCTCTCTGTTGTGTGTCTCTCTTCCGCCTCTCATGCTCTCTTTATCGCGCTCGTTTCTTCCCTTCTCTACTTCTCTCTTATAGTATTGAAGTTCAATGCGGAAGCCATGAACGAAGAAGCAAAGCTTTGAGTGAGAGAAAGAGTGAGAGAGAGTGAGAGAGCAGATAACGAAGAAAAGGAGAAAAAGTGAGAAAAATAGTTAGAGAGAGAGAGAACAGATGAAGGAGAAAAAGAGAAACTGTGAGAGAGTGAGAAAGAAAGAGATCCTGATCTATCTTCATTCAAAGAAAAGAAAAGTACATTTGTCAGAAAAGTGATTCACAAGTCATGGTAACCAAGTAACCTGGTTACAGTAACAGAGGGTAAAACTATTTCTGTATCTAAAAAAAAAAAGAAAAGAATGCATCATTAAAAGGTAACTAAGGTAAAACAGTAAAGTATTATTTGTATTTTTTTAGGTGTTATTATTTTTTTAATAATTTATTATGTTACATATATATATATATATATATATATATATATATATGAGATATATATAATTTGTTTTTTTAATACATATATTTTTTACGCTACTTCCGCAACCGCATCTCACAATAACACTATAGCGGTTTTGGGGGTTGGCCGCATCAGGCCGCAATCCGCATTTGATAACTATGATTAAGACTTGAGATTTGCAGCTTGCAAATAACAAAACTGTTGTTCTAAGAACCAGTGATGTTTATAAGTGGGTCTCAATTAAAGTAATGGATCTGTTTTCCGTTCACCAGCTGACAGAGCAACCAAAAACTTGGTTACACACATAATTGTTTTCAGGTCTGTATGCTGTGGCGATACAGAGGTTCTGCCAAATGTAACAATGAAGCAGCATGAGATACATGACATGGTACGTTTATACATAGAATGTTTTACATTGCAGCAAAAGAAGAACAAGAGAAGTATAGCAGTCTCTATTCAGTTGCCCTTAAACATAAAGTTCTACTTACCTGTGTTGCTAAATGCAATACAATCAATCAAAGGTCTAGCATTTGCATTTGGAATTCAATTCATATTCTGCAACAGAAAATTTTATTTGTCAACACTCAACAGAAATATAAGGAAATGAGAAGAAGCTCCAAACCATTGAACATCTCAAAGAAAAATCAAATGAGGCAACACACACCCCCAAGCTTTAATTAAAATTTTAAAACATAAACTAACTAATGTGTCAGGCACAATTTTAGATATTTAAAATTTCAAACCACTAATTCACAATTCACTTCAAGAGTAATACGGAGATCAGCCGATAAAATGCACCATTCAATACAATGCTGCTCAAGAAACTGAGCACATTTTAAACAGAACTTCAATGGACCAACCTTTCTTTCTCTCTTTAATTTGGATATAAGAGTAAGTCAAAGTATGATACAGTATAATTGTTACAAGTGGTAGTCGTCGGTCTTTGAAGTCGAGAACTTTAAGTTCAACTACTTAAACTTGCACTATGACAATTCTTATCAAACATTTAAATCACCACTCCTCTCTTTAAAAGAAAATAAATAATATACATTTTTGAACAACTGAATATGGATAATTTCAGATCTATGATATTTAGAAATATCCCCAGTAAAAGAGCTAAACCAAAAACAAATCATGTATCCATTGGCTCTATTAATAAAATGTTTCCCAGACTCACAGGCATAACAGAAGAAATGCTCATTGCACATAAATCCTTTTAATTTTAACCATCATTACCCTTGAGTTAAAGCAACAGTAGATAGAGGGAAAACAAAAAAAGTAGCAATAACCTTTTTTTATCTGAGAGAGGATCATCAATTTTCCAACAACTACATAAATTACCATTTTCTATTTGGAAAATAAACAGAGAGGAAAATTTCATTATCGAACTTCATACTTGGCAAGGACTGTTGAGAACCCAAAGAACAGAATATTTGTTTTCAGAGAGATAGTGAGATGAGAAAAACAGATAAATGAAAAGAAAAATAATACTTCTATAGTGTTTATTGAATTACAGAGACCTAAGGAGAGAATTCTCCTTCAAAAGGTTTCCGCATCACAAAGGGTTCCCCCTTTCTACAACGAAGCTCATTCACAGTTGAGTCAGTTCCCAAATGATAACACCTCAGAATGCCCACTCTTCTACCCTCTCCTCCTATTTAAGCTAATTCCCTACCACTACAACTTTAATTGCGTAACTATTCTAAATTTCTAACCACTTACTCCCTGGCCCTATCACAGACTGTATCCATAAAATGAATGTAGTTAAAACATAAGCGCTGGGTAAGGACATGAAGATATGTGTAGCAACTTATCAATTTGAACATCATATAAGAAACCAAATGGGATACAGATTATATATAAAAACAGATACTGTTGAATGTAAAGAGAGACGAACAACTTGTAAGCTATCAATAACTTGATGATTCAAAATATATACTGATCTAGCTGTTGTCTTGTTGCACAGAAACCCTGGCCTTGAGCGGACAAAAAATGAGAATCTGCTATCGACTCCCACAAGAAACAGCTCAAATGTTTCAATAAGCATTATAGATACCTAAATAGAAAACAAGGGACATTCTAAGACATCACAAATAATTAACTAATATGTTCAGGGCCACTAACTTTTCAAAACATAAATGGCAAGATCTACAATTACACATCCATTATGAACACACTTATACAAGAGTATATCTTTCCCACTAGTGCAGAGAAAATGAACAACTTCAGCAACTAATTTAACCAGAGGTGGGACTATCAGCACATTTTTAAGAAGCTAAGGAAACCTGCATCAATTATGAGAAAAGTTGTTATATATAAATGCTCTAACTATAATCAATGTTCTAAAGAAGAGAGTATTTTTGTCTTTGGTATCCCGATATAGATTAGCTGTTTCACTTTACATTTTAGGATTACTACAAAAATCTGAGTTTCTTGAGAAAGATACTTGAGCAGGTTGGTCACATGATATATTCTTACTTCAGTCAACATCTTTCTTGTTCATCTACATATCATTATCCTCCAGCATTCAACTATGAATCACTTAGAGAGGCATCATATCTCCAGTGGAAAAAATTGGTAAAAAAAAGAAAAAGGATTGGCACATCTAATCATAAAGGATGGAAATGGAAGGTAAGTTCATCCTAAGGGATGAAATTGCCAAAACCGTTCTATTGCAAACAACAGCCTCTTTATCTAATCCTAAAATGGGAAAAATAAAAATAAAAATGAAGAGAGCAGTAAGGTCATGAAACCAATCTCAACTCTCAAGACACAACCAAATCAGAGCACAAAAAGGAGCAGAAATAATTGTATGAAAATCACCAAAGGATCCTTTCTTGTTACCGATTTTGATATCAGGGAAAACCATAGAGCACCACCACCGAGTTCCATATAAAGAACCGTGTATTATTATTCATAAACTATAATACGCTTCGAGTTGAAGACGAGTAAGAGCGCTTCGCATCATAAACACAGTTGTAATCAGAAACAGATGAAACAACAATAATCCAAAAAATAAAATAATTCATAAAACAATAAAAGATAACGAGAGGGGGAAACTGAATCAATTAGCCACAAAATCTCAACAAAAGCTTCGAAAAAAGTAAAATTCTTGCAAACACGATGTAAATAACAAATAAAATATCAATAAAAATAATTACAAAATATGGCGGGGGTGTGAGACGTGAAATTGAAGATGATCGAAGTACGAACATGTATTTGAAGACAATAATAGGGTACAATACCAGAAATTGAAGATGATCGAAGTTTTCGAATATCACGCATGCTGCTGAATGTAGTTTCGTGTGGGTTCGATAGCTTCTTCAGACTGAATTTGATTTTGAGAAATTCGATGGGATTCGGTCGAAGGAAGTGTGCCGGTTTGGCCCATAGTTGTAGTAAGTACGACACTCATGATTCACAAGCGTATACCATGGGATATCAGGGATCTGCAAAATAAAAAAAATAAAAAAATTGAACCGAATGATAAACCAAACCAAACCACTCTCAAAATAATCAATTTTTAAAAAATAGTTCATAAATCGAATTGGTTTTTAAAGAATCAGTTCATGGGGATACCGGAAGGAGCCAACTCGTCTCAAAGAGATAATTAGGGTTGGATAACTCCAAAAAAAAAGAACCAGTTCATGAACCGAACAAGTTTTTAAAACTAATTTATAAATTGAACCGATTTTTGAACTGAACTGAACCGAACCGAACAAAATTGATTTTTATAACTTTATTTTTTAAATGTTTAATTTTTTCTTTTCAAAAGAGAATTGACCCGAACCGGTTCCGAACCGTTTTCAATCGAACCGAACCGAACTACTTCCGAATCGAATCATTTTTGAACCGAATCGAACCATTTAAACTAATTCGGTTCGATTTTTCAAAAAATCTAGTTCGGTTCGACCCATGCACATCCCTGTGGGATATATCGGTAAATGATTTGTATCCGTTTAAAAAATTAAGATTTAATGTGTGATTTAAACTCAACAATTAATTTGAAAAGTCTGTATTAATAAAGAAATATTTTAATAAATATTTTGTAGGATAGAATATTGTAACAATCAATTAGTGTTACTACCAATCAATTTCACCGTTAGATCGATTATGTTGATCCAACAGTTATATTTAATCTGATATTTGTATGGTTATGATTTCCTATATTTAATGTGAAAGCATTAAATATGGAAAATCATAACCATACAAAGGTAAAAATAAATATAAAGTATCAAATATGGGGAATCATAACCATACAAAGATGAAAATAAATATAACTATTGGATCAACACAATCAATCTAACGATGAAATTGATTGGTAATAACATTAGTAATAATTGGTTGTTACAATATCCTTCCCCATATTTTATATCTTCTGATTTAATATGATTTACAATATAAGATAAAATTTGGTCAATGATACATCATATATATTGTGATTCAACAACTTTGGTTGATCACCACGACTTTATGCTCCTTCAGAGGATGACATGTGAATTACAAAAAAAAATAAAAAATTATTCTCTTCTCTTTTTACTGTTTTTTTATCTCTCTCGTAATTTTATTGGTCTGTCCTACCTAATAAAAAATGATCCGGAAGCACTTAAAAAGGTCTCCACCATTGTTGATAGTTTCGACCTGTCAGGTTCTTAGTGTTGGTATTTATAATAATTATTTATGGGTGTAAGGTCTCTAATATTATAGAGGATGTTTGACCTTTTTGCCTTTGATAAAAATTAATATTACACCTTTGCTATCGTACCAAAACGTTTCACATATCTATTTTTATTTGATCATTGACCAAGTTATGAACTCGAGTAAGAATTTATTGTAATTGGTACACTCACAATACTTGGTATAGTAAGAATTTTATGTTACCTCAGTACATCATTTCTGTACTCGAGCAATGTTCATTAAAAACATAGCAGAACTCAAGCAATATTCGAGTATTCGCTGAAGGTTCAAGCGAACTAGATATCACGTGGCACAATCTTATTATCCGATCAGAATTAATGTACCAATCACAATAAAAAACAGAAAATGAAGAAAAATGTATATTTATTTTATGTACCGATAACCAATCACAATTAGTGTACTAATGAGATTAACTTTTGATTGTACCAATCACAATTAATGTACCAATCACCAATCACTTCGGAGGGCCATAACTTTTGATTCGGTATCCAAATCAGATATTTTTTATTTTATTTCATATAACTTTTCGAGATCTACTCAATGACACTTCATTTGACATATTTTATCTCTCACAAATATCGTTCGAATTTGTAAGATAGGTATCACAAACTAATACATTAATTGTGATTCGTGATTGATACATTAATTGTGATTGATGATTAGTACATTAATTGTGATAGTACATTAATTAAATAGTCATTTTCTTTCATTTTTTATTGTGATTGGTACTTTAATTCTGATCATGCAACGAAATTATGCCATGTAGCACACGAAGCTCGCTACCCCTGGTAGGGAAATTCATTCAGTCAACTTTTTCTGTGAAAATATACCACATGTCACGAAATCATCGGCTACCAAGTTCACTATCAGTGGTAACGAACTTCAATGCGTGGCAGTCGGATAAATTTTATTATTTGCGTGGCATTTGAGTAAAAAAATCAGTGAACAATGACACATTAATCACCACTCCTTCATATTTTCGCCTGTCCTGAGGGATGGGTACAGTACCTAGGATAGGTAAACTATTAATTAATTAATTTATATTGCCTTAATTCTTGTTTTTTTGCAATATTGTTATCCTTTGAGAGAAATGAATAATTTGCCAGGTCTGGTGAAGCCTTAGGCACTACCAGAATGATGTCAGGTCCTGTTGGCAGACGAGTGGTCTCCTATAAACATAGTTCTCCAACTTAATGGGAACAAGGAGGATATATGGATTGACGAAGAGGACTGGATGACCATTCAAAGAAGGGAGGAAGAAGAGGAAGATGTCTTAGAAGAGGATTGTCCTGAGCAACAAGATAACCCGCTTTGTCGAGTGTATTATTTCTCAAAGAAGCAGCACAAAGAAAACTGTAGAAGGTGGAGGAAAGCTCTAATAATTAAGCTTCTGGGCAGAAAAATTAGCAACTGATTTCTGATGACTAGATTGAAAAACCAATGGAGACTCATAGGGGGCATGAAGGTTATCGATCTAGATAACAGTTACATTCTGATTAATTTCAAAGAGGAAAAGGACTACCAAAACGTCCTTCATGGAGGCCCTTGGATAGTGGTGAACCATTATGTGATGGTGCAGAGATGGAGGCCAATGTTTGACCCTTATGAGGAAGAAGTTAAAAGACTGGTTGTCTGGGTTCGCATTCCGGGTCTGCCGTTGGAATTCTACACAACCCATCATCTATGGAGAATAGGTAACCTCTTGGGTAAGACCCTCAAGGTTGACAAGAATTCTCTGAGGAAATCTGATGGAGGAGAGGGAGAACATACAGAGAAAGCTAAATATGCCAAAATTTGTATCAAAGTTGATATGAGGAAAAGCTTCATATCTCAATTTCAGTTAGGAGAATTAGGTGATAAGATTCTAAATGTGACTTACGAAGGTTTGCATTGGATGTGGTCGTTACGGGCACAGGCAAGATTCATGCAGTGGAGGTATGTACTCAGAGAAATCCTCAGTTATGGCCCAAGCAGGGAAACAGGTTCAGCTGCAGGAACCACAACACAATCCTGTCATCAGGAACGTCTCAGAGGAAGCTTTTGACTCCTGGATGGTGGTTCAGAAGCAAATTAAAGGGAGGAGAACTAAGAATGCTCCTCGAGGCAAATCGGAGGGGAAGAATAGAGTGCAAACGATAGAACAAACTGTCGCCCAAACCCCAAAGATTTTGACGGCGCGTGGGCCCAGTAGAGGTAGTTCCAATACCATATTTGATATCTTGGCAGAAGCGGTCGAAATTACAGGAGTAGACTTAGCAAGCTCGGAAGAGCAGAGATCAGTCCCCATCAAAGAGTTGACCCCTTCAAATAGGGGCAGAGAACCAGCGGCACAACGATAGAACAGGCTAAGCACGCAAAAGGGTCTAATGAGAAAGGGAAGGCTACACACACCCCACAAGGGTAGGGATATGAAATACAACCCAAAACTAGTCCAAAGGGGGAATATGGGCCCAACTATTCACGCAAACAAAGCAAAAGCCCAAGGAAATGTCTTGGCCCTTCAGACGAAATCCGTTCTATCCTAAGAGATAATTGTCCATTAATCTTTGGCATTAGGGAGGGGGCAAATTATCTTAAGGAGACACATTCTGTGAGCTCGGATTTAATCTTTCAATTCTGCATACATTCTTCATTCTGTCTCATCATCTGACATTAAGTAAGTATGTTCTGTTTTTAATAATTGCACTGTATCTGATAATTCTGATAATTACTCTCGTCTGCTCTTTACATGGGTTCAAATCTCTTAGTGCTTTAATAACACCCAATGACTTCTATAACAATATATTCTATATTCATAATTATTTATTAAAACAGCAATTTTTTTATTTATTTTGCAGACGACTTCTTTTCATGATATGACAAGCCACCAGTTTGGTCCATTAAGCGTAGTAAGAGACTTTTATTTATCTCTTTTATATTTCAGACAATTAATAAAATTATTTTGTGAAGCCATTTTCTTGGCAAAGGTTTGTGCTCTACTACTCTAAAGTGTGGAGCCACTCGTTTAAAAGTTCGCAGAAACAATCGATTAGCACGAATTTTGACCAATTTCCTGCAAGCGGTTCTTTTGAAGCCACTAATTATTATTTTTTTCTCCCATTATAATTCTTTGGTTATATTTCTTAAAATCAAATCCTGATTATCCTAAGAATGAATGAATTAAGCATAATGCATATAAATAAAATGACTCATAAACTCAATATTTTAAAATTTTGGATTAAGACATAGTGTTATCAACATTATTCCCACAATATTTATTATCTTAAAATCACTTTTTACGTTTCCAAATCAATTTATTCAAATGTATTTCTGATTAAAATTAATTTTGCAATATCAAGTTCCTCCATAAATTAATTTAACAAAATCAAAACACACAAATAATTTGAAAACTCAACTTCATCTGACTGTTCATGACCACTACACAATCCACTAACCCCGTGATCTTAAACTCAAAAGTAATCGTAGCTACCTTCAATGTTAACACGCAAACCCTTGGACTATGCTTGAATTTTTAATGATAAGTAAAATAGAGAAATGTGAAATGAAATAGAATGGAATAAAATTCTCATATTTTCATATGGATATTTTATGATGGAATAGAGTAAAATGTCGATTCCATTGTTTGAGAAGCGAACAAAATGATAAGAAAATTATTGAATTATTGAATTTCACCTCATTCCATGTCATATGCCAATAGAGCTATTGATTTAAATGAAATGCATTCAATTTCATTTTAATTTAAACAATCTAATCATGGAAACTAACTACTTTATATTAAATTATTTCATTTCTTTTCACGAATCCAAAGATAGGCCAGAGGAAGAGATGCTGTCGCTACACTCATTTGACAACGATCCGCATTTCATAATTTTAATCTTTATTTTTTCTTATTCTCTCTTTTGCCATTGAGGTACTGAGAATATGGAATGAAGGGCAATCAATGTTTTCCTTTTGACAGTCTACAACTCTACATTAAAAAGACGGTTGGAGTTGGTGTCTGGTATAATAATTATCCTCTTTAATTTATATTTTATTTTGGTTGGCTATCCTTTGTTTGATGAAATGATTGAAAAACTGTATTATATTGAAAATTTTCATTTTTTGACTTTTCTATGCTCCAGCTATCTCTCCATTTCCTCTTGCACCGTTTTTTCGTTAACATTGAACTATGGCTTCTGCGGACAAAAAAGAAGAGCTTCATGTTCTATTGGTGGCATTTTCAGCCCAAGGTCACATCAACCCCATGCTTAGGCTAGGCAAGAGCCTACTAACCAGAGGCCTTCATGTCACACTCGCCACCACTGAATTAGTTTACCATCGCATGTTCAAGTCCTCCACCACTCCCACCAGTACCGGCGACGAAGCCACCGTCCCCACTTCTATCACCACCAACGGAATCCAAGTGCTGTTCTTCTCTGACGGCTTGGATGGCAGAGAGACCAACATGGACCACTACATGGAGTCTATGGGGAAATTTGGACCCGTTAACCTCTCAAACATCATCAAAGACCACTTCCTAGGCTGTTCTAAAAGACTAGCTTGCATTATCAACAACCCCTTTGTCCCATGGGTAGCAGATGTAGCTGCCGAGTACAAAATCCCCTGTGCTTGTCTCTGGATTCAACCCTGTGCTCTTTATGCCATATACTACCGTTTCTACAACAAGTTCAACCAATTTCCTACTCTCGCGGACCCTGACATGAGTGTCCAGTTACCAGGTCTGCCATTGTTACAAGCACAAGACCTTCCATCTTTTGTCCTCCCATCAAATACTATTGGAAGCATGCCTGAGATATTGTCAGATATGTTCCAAGACATGAAGAAGCTAAAGTGGGTATTGGCAAATTCATTCTATGAGTTGGAGAAGGAGGTAGTAGATTCCATGGCCGAGTTATGCCCTATAAAAACGGTGGGTCCGCTAGTCCCTCCATCATTACTTGGCCAAGATCAAAACGAAGACGTTGGAATTGAAATGTGGAAGCCACAAGACTCCTGCATGGAGTGGCTCAGCCATCAGCCTCCTTCTTCGGTTATATACATCTCGTTCGGAAGCATCACTGTGTTATCAGCTAAGCAAATGGAGAGCATAGCCAAGGCTCTGAAGAAAAGTAACCGTCCTTTTCTTTGGGTCATCAAGCGTGGTGAAAAAGCAGCTTCAGATGGAGCAGAGGAGCTGCCACTGCCACAGGGTTTCGAGGAAGAAACCAAAGACCAAGGCATGGTGGTGTCGTGGTGCCCACAAACCAAGGTCTTGGCTCACCCTGCAATCGGATGCTTCTTAACACACTGTGGCTGGAATTCCATGTTGGAAGCCATCACCGCAGGCACGCCCATGATTGCTTACCCACAATGGTCCGACCAACCCACCAACGCTAAACTCATTTCTGATGTGTTCCATATTGGGATTCGCCTCGAGCAGGACAGTGATGGCTTTGTTGAAACAGAGGAAGTGGAAAGAGCTATTGAAGAAATTGTTGGGGGAACATGCTCAGAGGAATTTAAGAAAAATGCAGCAGAGCTGAAACGGGCTGCAAGGGAGGCTGTTGCTGACGGCGGATCGTCGGACTGCAATGTCCAATCATTCGTGGATGAAATAATTGGTACCGCGATAAATAATATCTGATGTTGTCATCATTCCATGATCCGAAAAAATTTATAATATCTTGTCGTTATTGAATGTTAAATTCCTTGTTTGGAGTTTTCTCATTATGGTACTTGGCTAATAAAGAAAATAATGTACGTCGGCCATTTGACAGACAGAACATTCCTTTTTTTCTTTCCATTTACTTTATCCTTGTTCTGTTTCATTTTTCATCAGACATTCCTAAGTACTATTTTAGTAACGGGCAGCTTTAGGCTTTACGAAAGTTTGGTACAAAAATAATACAATTTTTCTCTCGAGTCCTCAAACATGGGATTAGTCTCATCTTTCTTCTAATGACGAAATTCAATGCACCCGTTATTTTAATAAATAAATGAATAATTTTGGGATTATATTCCGAGGACAAGATAACTCGAGGAGATTAAATGAAAATACTTCTGGGTTATACCAAAAAATATATATATATTTTGGTAAAAAAAATTTCCAAAATTCTTTTAAAAAAGTTTAGTTTTAAATTAAGCAACAACTAATGTATTTACTTTCAAATTTTAATTATTAAGATCGCATTTGCTTAAATTAAAAATCAAGAATAAGCATATTCTAATTTACTCATTTTAAAAGATTTCTTCACAAGAGTCTTGACAGATAAAAAGGCAAATTACATTCTCTTGTAACTTCTCCCCCCAAAAAAATTGTGTTCGATTAAAAATGAGTGTGCATTTAAATTAAATATTTTCATACTTAAAATAGTCTATAATTATTTTATTAATTTTTTAATGATGATTATTTTAAATTTCTATTTAGTTTTGTTTTGTTATATCAATATTTTTTCATCTAAAATATTTTTTTGTCTTTCTTGTTTATTTAATAGTATGATATTCAGCTGTCTATCTCGATACTTTATAAAGAGAGGGTACGGTATTATTATTTATTATTTAAATGATATGTTATAGGTTGAATAATAAAAGTCACTTTTATAATTGGAGTGGTTATGTTATTACTTTATAAGCATTTTACTACATGTCAGGTCAATAATAAGGTCCGGCATTGCTGTTTTAGGGTCTTGCCATGCAAATGAGTTTTGCAGCGAGGCATTAAAGAAACTGGAAATATGATAATTTTTTTTTTAAATTTTTACCACATTCGAATAATGAATAAATATGTAAAATTCCTTTGCCAAATAAATAAATAATGTGCATAATACTTGTTACCTACCTTCTGAACAAGTTCAACCACCTTATCTCTGGAGTATTAAAAGCCTGGCCCTTTAGAGGTCTGGCCACAACTGACTCCAGCTTTTGATTCTGACGTGAAGATAATGCAACTTTAAGTCGAACTAAGTAGTGAAATATATAATATATTGTATCCATTTTCACCGACCAACGGATAAGAACAATAACTAAGTAGTGAAATAGAGCAAGATAGAACAGAGAAACAGGGTCGGAATCCGTATTCATTGGAAGTTAGCTGAATTACAAGATATCTATAATAATAGGCGTTTTAGTGATTCTTGTCTAGAAGCAGTTTTGTTACAACAGCAACAATAATAATAGAAGTTACAGAGATATATTAGTGTACTTAAGTAGTGAAATATGTCTAATGCATGATCAAGACATGAGATTTGTAGCTCGCAAATAACAAAAATGCTGTTCTAAGAACCAGTGATATTTATAAGTGGGCTTCAATTAAAGTAATGGATCTGTTTTCCGTTCACCAGCTGACAGAGCAACAAAAAACTTTGTTAGACGCATAATTGTTTTCAGGTCTATATGCTGTGGCGATACAGATGTTCTGCCAAATTTAACAATGAAGCAGCATGAGATACATGACATTGCAGCAAAAGAAGAACATGAGAAGTATAGCAGTCTCTATTCAGTTGCCCTTAACATAAAGTTCTGCTTACCTGTGTTGCTAAATGCAATACAATCAATCAAAGGTCTATCATTTGCATTTGGAATTCAATTCATATTCAGCAATAGAAGATTTTATTTGTCAACACAATAAATTGTAATCGTGAATAACATTTTATTCTGTATTGTATTTGCAGCCAATGTCTCTTAAATAGACATGGTACGTAACTGGACTCGATCCTATCAGTTTGTTATGTACACAACTGATGCCTAAATAATAGGTAACAATAATACTAAGCTAACAAGTAAAAGCTACGGCTAACAAATGATAACAGTAACTAAACTAGTGTAACAGTATCTAAACTAGTAACACAAATCATAACAATAGCAACACCTTTTTTCTAACACTCCCCCTCAAGTTGGAGTATGAAGACATGAAATGCCCAACTTGGGAAGGAAGGCAAGAAAAGAAGCTCGACCAAGAGCTTTGGTGAAGATGTCTTCTAATTGTAAATGAGATCGAACATATGATGTCTGAATATGTTTGGCAAGAAGCTGCTCCCTAACAAAGTGACAATCGATTTCGATGTGCTTGGTGCGTTCGTGGAAGACGGGGTTGGCAGCGATGTGCATGGCTGCTTGATTGTCGCAGCACAGCTCCATGGGGTCCTGATGAAAGATTTGTAAAGAAGCAAGAAAGGATTTTAGCCAAGTTAATTCGGCAGTTGCAGCGGCCATGGAACAGTATTCTGCCTCTGCGGAGGAACGGGATACTGTAAGTTGCTTCTTTGTCTTCCAAGATATGGGCGAGTTTCCAAGCATGATGAAGAAGCCAGAGATAGATCGCCGAGTGATAGGGCAGCTGGCCCAGTCCGAATCACAGAAGGCATGAATTTTAAAGTCACTTGTGGATGAGAGAAATATGCCTTGGCCTGGACTCATTTTAATATAGCGAAGGACTCGTAGGGCTGCTTTGTAGTGTGCTTCTTTTGGAGCCTGCATGAATTGAGACAGGATGTGCACCACATAACATAAATCTGGACGAGTTATAGTTAGATAAACCAGCTTACCAATGATACGCCTGTAACGACTTGGATCACCATATTCTGGGCCATCATCTACGGCCAAGCGATGGTTTTGTTCAATGGGAAAAGATGCAGGTTTACAGTCCACCAAACCAGTTTCCTTGAGAATATCGAGTGTATATTTTCGTTGGCACAAAAAGATTCCTTCCTTGTTCCTAGCAATTTCCAACCCCAAAAAATGCTTCAAGGGACCCAAATCCTTAATCTTAAAACACTTATGGAGATAATCCTTCACCTCTTGGCAGACTTTAGGATCATTACCTGCTATGATTAAATCATCGACATAGATTAAGATAGCTAGAAATACAGAGCCATGCTGCAAAGTAAACAGTGTGTGGTCTGCCTGGGATTGGACGAAGCCAAACTGAATGAGGGAGGTGTGTAGCTTGGCAAACCAATTCCTAGGGGATTGTCGCAGTCCATACAGTGACTTCTGGAGACGACATACCTTACGGTCTTGTCCTTGATTAAAGCCTGGTGGTATGCGCATGTATATTTCCTCTTCAAGATCCCCATTAAGAAATGCATTGTGAACATCCATTTGATGAAGTGACCATCCTTTCGCAGCTGCTACTGCCAGAAGAGTTCTAACACTGACCATCTTTGCCACGGGAGCGTAGGTTTCATGGAAGTCTTCTCCGGGAACTTGGTGATTGCCCGCGATCACCAATCTGGCCTTGTATCGCTCAATACAACCGTTGGAGAGATACTTAATTTTATATACCCATTTGCATAGGAGGGCATGCTTCCCTGCAGGCAAATCAGTGAGATGCCACGTCTGATTATCTTCAAGTGCTTGTATTTCCCGTGCCATGGCTTCATGCCATTCTTGTCTTGCCACGGCCTCCGTGAATGAATGTGGTTTAATCCCTGCATCAATGGCTGCAACGAACACTTGATGGTTGTGAGAAAACCGATTAGAAGTTACATAATTTGCAATCGGATATCGCTTACCTGAGGAGGAGTCAGACGGAATGATAAGAGGGACATGCGTATGTGTTTCGGCTAAGTTGCATTTGTAATCACTCAAATAACCTGGAGGCTTGCGTACCGAGGCACTCATTGAGGCACAGTTGGGGCTGATTCATTTATTTGCAATGGACCAGTATCTTCGTTCACTGCTGGTGCAGGTTCTTGCAAAGTAATGCTCCCCCTATCATCCATTTCCCTTTCATTTGTAGCATCGCTGTGTGAAGGATGCTGGCTTGCGTCTTCAGCATCGCGGACAGCTGGGAAATTATAAGTGTCTGAGGGAATAAATGGAGGCAGTGGTGTGCTAGCCACATTTGGATCAACAACAACCATATGTTCTGCAGTGAAGGGAAATTCTTTTTCATGAAAACGAACATCTCCTGAGACAAAGAATTCGTCTCTTTCCAAATCATAAACTCTCCACCCTTTCTAACCAAATGGATACCCAACGAATATGCACCTTCTCGATCGTGGACTAAACTTATCAGTTGGTCTAGGTTGGAAGGCAGTGTAGCATAGAGAACCAAACACTCTTAAGTGTTTATAATCAGCAACAACTCCATAGATTAATTCATGAGGGGTTTTGCCATGAAGAATTTTCGTAGGAGTTCTGTTAATAAGATGCGCTGCTGCCAAAACGCTTTCTCCCCAGAACTTGATGGGCAATTGAGCTTGGAAAAGCAAAGCTCGAGCTACGTTTAATATGTGTCTGTGTTTCCGTTCCACTCGACCGTTTTGTTGTGGAGTATGAACACAAGAGGTTTGATGGAGTATACCTTGGGCAGCAAATAGCGCAAGCATTTTATTAGATGTGAATTCCGTTCCGTTATCAGAACGAATACTTTTTACTGTTTTTCCAAATTGAGTTTGCACCATGGCCAGAAATTTACGTATACAATAACTAAGTAGTGAAATAGAGCAGGTAGAACAGAGAAACAGGGTCGGAATCCGTATTCATTGGAAGTTAGCTGAATTACAAGATATCTATAATAATAGGCGTTTTAGTGATTCTTGTCTAGAAGCAGTTTTGTTACAACAGCAACAATAATAATAGAAGTTACAGAGATATATTAGTGTACTTAAGTAGTGAAATATGTCTGATGCATGATCAAGACATGAGATTTGTAGCTCGCAAATAACAAAAATGTTGTTCTAAGAACCAGTGATATTTATAAGTGGGCTTCAATTAAAGTAATGGATCTGTT